GTGTGTGTGTGTGTGTGTGTGTGTGTGTGTGTGTGTGTGTGTGTGTGTGTGAAGCCCCAGGTGATGATTTATTGATTTTTGTCAGCTTCAGGTTGGAGGCGACTGTTAGCCAATCACCCGTGGGTGAAGGGCAAGAATAAAAAGACGCGCACGTACCCACGCATGTCCGTACACACCGCTTGAACGGTCACATACAAAAGCAAAAGCTAAACACGACAGCGAGTGCAACGAGCAGCACTCGGTTCTTGTTAAGGCAGTCTTATTAGCTGGAGAATTTCCCAGTTTTTCACTCCTCTTGCTCTTTGGAGTTCTTTTTTTATTTTCATTAAGACAACAGTGGTTCCAGAGGTGATAAAAAAAACTGCTGGCTGCAAATACTAAAGGTTGAATCTCATTTTACTCCTTCCTCTTACTTTTCAGCCATACCTCTATATTTTGCACATTCACATCAGGTGAAAGGGTGTTCTGATTCTTTTATTTTGTGATCCCAAAAAATAAAAAAAATACAAAAAAAAAGCTTAAGGACTGGGATTGCTGACTCTGAAAAACTGATTTTTCAGCAGGAAATTTAAAAAAACATGAGCTGCACTAAAAACAAATCACAAATATTTATTATGCTGTAACGAAGACAGTGAGACAAAAACATCACCAGCCTCCTGTCACCAGTGGGCCACAATCAGGTGTGTTGAACCGAGGGACCATCAAAGACATGCAGGGAAGTGGCCCTGCTGAGCACTGGAATTGGACACCTTTCGTTTACCTAAAACGAATCTGCGACAATCGATAGTACATCAACTTCATGAAGGATTGTCCCATATTGCAGAGCAGAGTAACAAGTAACTAAGTACATATACTTTGTTACTCTACATAAGTAGAATTTTTGGTTATCTGTACTTTACTTGAGTAATTATTTTTCAGTGTACTTTTTACTTATTACACTTTTACACAATTATCTGTACTTTCTACTCACTACATTTTTTAAAAAGGTAAGAAGTAGAAAGTCGTTAATCCTATTTTGTTCAGAGTTGTTATTACTTTTAAAAAATCCTATCCTGATAAATTGTGTCTCCTATAGAGTGAATTTAACTGTAGTTGGATGAGAAGTATAAATATATACCATTCTGACACTATTTTAGCTTGTACACAACCCATCACAGCTGCACGCCGTTAGAAAAAATATTTTTGGTGAAGTCACCTCCAAATAAATGTGATTTTGGAAAATCGAACTGCTCACTTTTACTCAGTACTTTTACTTTTAATACTTAAGTAGATTTTGTGTCAGAAATTTACTTTTGATACTTAAGTACAAAAATATCAGACACTTTAAGACTTTTACTCAAGTAATATTTTTAGAGAAGACTTTAACTTTTACTTAAGTATTTTTATGATAAGATACTTGTACTTTTACTCAAGCAGGGGTAGACAGGGGAAATTTTTCAGGTTGTCCAGCAGACAACCTGAAAAACCTGTTGACAAAACCTGGTTGTCCGCAAAACATTTTTGCTGTCCAAAAGAATCTCAAGAAAAATGTAGTTTAACAAGTATATTGTTCTGTAGATGAAGTTTATTATACATAATTGTTCTCAGTCAGCCAGGTTGACAGGAGCTGCATGAATCAAATTTCCTCAATCTCTTCTTTGAAATAGAATTCATCATTCATAAGCTTCTTTCACAGGTCAAACATTTTCACTTAAATAGGAGTATACTGTGTACATGACCTTATTAAAAGTTACAGTTTAGAGTTCTGTTTGGTTTTACCAAGTTTTTTCTCCCGTTTATTTTTACAAATGACGAACACCCGCAGCAGAGAACTTTAATCAAGCTCTTTTTGCTTGATTGTCCACCGGACAACCAAGAGACAGGATCTGGTTGTCCGAAACAAAAATAGGTTGTCTCGGACAACCTAAACAATGGTTGTGTCTACCCCCGTTAGGGCTGCCACAAACGATTATTTTAACAATCGATTAATCACTGATTATTTATTCGATTAGTCGACTAATCTGATCATACGTTAATTGAATATAAAACATACAGCTTATCATGTCAGAATGCAGCTGCTATTATATAACCATCGTTAAAATTTTAGCTATATGCTAACTAAAAAAATAATTGCTGTGGAAGGTAAGTTCTGCTCTGCAGATATTACACAGGTTTCCCTTTCATTTTCTTAAAATGATCCCACACTTTGAGCTC